CGAGAGTCAATGCGTGGAGGTTTGAGGTCCTCAGCACCATAAAAGTGCAGGCTCATCAGACCAGAGATATACTGGCTGCACTTGGGCTGCTCTGTGAAGCTGTAATGGCGGAAAGCATCAATGTCCAGCTCTGTGCCACTATGTTTGGAGCTGCCACCTCCTTCCATCTCCTTGCCTTTCCCTCCCTTCCCCTCTGAAGAGCTGTTCTTCCCAGATTTGGCCACCAGCTCTGGTGAGTCACCATCACTGAGGTAGCCACCTTTACTGGCAGACTTTGAGCTGCCATTGCTTTTCTTCTTACTGAAGCTGTGCTGTGTGGATACACTGCTGTCCAGGTGGTAGCGGGAAATCACATTGCAGCTTGCCTGACCACCCCCAGATGCCGTTAATCTAGGAGGGCCTGAGGTTTGGAGGACAGTCCCAGATCCACTCCCATTGTTACGAGGAGAATGGGCTCTTGGCTCTAACTGGCTGTTTCCATTGCCATGGTTGCTGTTACTGCTACTTGGGGCCCCCTTAACACTGAGTTTCCGGCTCAGCTCTGGAAGCTTCTTCATCTTCATGGAGATCTTCCTGACAGTGCGCGGGGACTTGATCTTATCTGGGAAGGACCAGTTGATAGAGCTGCTCTTCTTGGTTGGGTTTGGGCTGGAGGGTGGAGAGAAGCCAACAGCACTGGGCAGGTCAGGACCATCTACAGAGGAAATAACAGAAGAGAAAAACTGATTAAAAGTCTGACACGTTTAGATTTTTATTTGGTTGACAATTGGTGTAACAGTTTAAACATTTAACTGACTAATTCTTTTGCAGAAAATATATTTTAGAAAGCAAATTTTGGATTACTAATGTGAACAAATTGGTACCACCAGTCACAAGTTAAAGTCACTGTAATCACTGGTTTCACTAGACAATCCACCTTACTCCTGTGATTACAAGTACCTGTTCAGATGTCCAGTGAAGACAGACAGGAAAAGAGAAGACTAAAGCCAAAGGCAAAGTGTGCATGAACCATAATTTACAGTCTCTCAGAAAAGCACTACACCTCCATGGCGCATCATCAAGTGATTAGGTTTACATACAACCCACTGACAATTATTGTTTAGTCTACAGGAGAGAACTGTATCTTTAAGGTTCTTCCAGCTCACCCAATATGAGATTTGCTGTGACTGGGCAATTCATCTTATATTATTTAAACCAGCATTAATCGTTTTTGGCCACACAGGGATAGTAGATCAAGCTGTAAATCCAACATCGACATATTAACACTTTATAAGTTTGTCAAGGTTAATGTGTTAGCAAACATTTAGCCACAGGGTAATATTGACATTTATTTAGAGTTGTGTTTATTGGACCAGGAAAGTTTAATATTTACTCACTGTAGCTTTATTTCAGTCTCCATCATCACCAGAGGAAAATATTTCTGTGTCTACATGTTCCACTATGTTCACTAGCAAAGCAGGTAGCATACAGTGAGGCTTGGAGCATTTTCACTTTAAAAGAAGCTCCATGTTTGTGGAAATGATGCTGATCAGAGCACTGGGCATGAATCAATACAGTCCATTTGCAGAGTGTAAAACCAAAACAGTGAGCTGGAAGATGCTAAAAAGAAAAGTGTAGCACTGAGAAAAACTGTGTGAGATAATTCTCTGCGGATTTGTCTCCATGAGCAACTTCCTTCAGATACATATGGTAATTTGAGCAATTGTTTATAATAATTATTGCTATAGCAGCTTTAGGAGAGTCCATATCTAATCTGTACCTCTCTATATAGTCATATCCCCTTAACCTTTCTAGATAGTTTCTTTTGTGCATATCATCCATCAGTACAGACTGTGCTGACCCTAACTGTCATAATAATAATTGAACACGTCACTGCAAGTATCAACAGTTAATCTTTTTCTAGAAAAAAAAAACTATCTGGCAAGGGAAGAGAAAGTATTAACAGAGCCAGCTCTGCTTAAAGTGGAATTTGTGAAATTATGGGCTTCCTGCTATTTGTCCAACAAAAAGATTGGGCCTCTCTCAAATAGAAAAGCATCTACTTTCTACATTCAGCACTATTTTATTAAGCTTTCCTCCATAGTTGAACTGCCTTATTACACTTTAGAGGGAATACCTCACTGCATGGGCCCATGGGAGATTAACTGGACCGCATGACCCAGTAAGAGAAATTTATCTTTTAAACGTGGCCTCGATATTATACAGTCGCCTATGTCTAGGGTCTGTTAAGTTACTTGGGCATTTAATGCATTTCTGATATGAACTTCTGCTGCAATAACTTTGAATTAGTTGTTTGGAATAAAAATGCAAATATTGTTTAAAGCAGCTAATTACTGTCCCAGAATAAACCTCTGAAACAAAAGAATGATTCTGTAAGTAAGAGAGAAAAACACAGACAGAGAGATAAAAAGGAGAAAGAAGAGGGGGAGAGCTTGAACCTGCCAACATCACCAGCTCTATTTTCAGAGGGGACATGCTGTGCTATTCTGGGGCGAGGGCCCACGAATGAAAAGAAAGAGGCAGAGGAGATGCAACAGGATGGAGAGAAGGGTAAGATGGGGGGCAGGAGCAGGACAGGGTGTAGCCAGCAGATGGGAAACAAAGGAACCCCTTGTCCAGGCTCTAAGAGGTCTGGATGGCCAACTGGAAGGCTGGCTGGCAAGCCGGTGGTGAATGTACAAATGAACACGACTGTTCTCTCACATTCCTTGCCAAAACATGTTTAGCCTCCTCATGCCCCTGGCTGAGTAGCCTTCCCTGTCATGACTTCCTGCCAATAATAGACAGAGGTGCTCTGAGAAGAGAGAAAATGGGTGGAGGGCACTGGAGGTGCAAATTCACGAAAAAAAAAAACATCTGAGGTAGAGCTGCATACACAGAAAGCTCTGGTCAGGTCTGAAACAAGACTTCCAGGAGTAACAACCCTTTACACAAAGCATATGTTTTTCTATTATTTTATTTCTCTTTTTATTGTACTGAATGTTAACCTACAGTACCAATGAGAAGGAATTGAAGTAGAATGTAACTAGCAACAAAACTGGATGGGATCAAAATCCCATAGTTCATAGTGTTCAGTATTAGTTATATATTTGACACACATACTGTGATGGCATCACATTTAAAATAAGTAACTGCACAAATGCTTGTGTTTTATTGAAGACCCTGATCCACCCATCCTTTATCTATACTGCTTATTCCTGAATAGGGTCATGGGGGGGCTGGAGCTAATCCCAGCTGACACTGGACGAGAGGCGGGGTCCACCCTGGACAGGGCACCAGTCTAACACAGGGCTGAAACTTAGAGACACAGAACCACAACCTACACTCCTGTCTCTAGTTTAAACGGGTAATAATTTGTTCATCTTGAAACACTGCATGTCAGGGGCAGTTTGCCTGGCAACTTCCAGTAGAACTGTATTATGTTGATGCGATCATTTTATACGATTTTGTTGCCCAAAATAATGACTTGGCAAACTGTAATCAAAAATTGACAAAAGAAGTTTTGTTTGTTTGCTTTTTACATATATTCATGGTTTTTACAGGGATACTGCATAAAAGAGGAATGTGATTATGCACACTGTGTTTGATGGCTAGTTATAATTTGTCAGAAAGCCTGGAAAATGTAATACATCAATGGCAATAAATGAAAGCTATTAGCATTTGATGCCAACTTTAGGAAAATCACATCTCGCTATTTAAGGTACGAATTGGTTCATTTGAATTGGTGCTACTGTTTTCAACTGTCTAGCTTACGATATGTGATACCTATAATAAACTAATGCAATTGAAGAATGCAGAAAAGACTCTGTCACTGCTGAGGCAATGCCCACTAGCATTTGACAGAGCTAATGACTGTTGCATTGTTAATGACTGTGGCCTCACAAACACCCACATGCAGCTGTATCCTCTGTAGCCTTTGGCCGTGTGGCAGCAGCCAGCAGAGGAACTTGACACCTCAGCAGATGAGGTTCAGAGGCGATGGTTTGACACCTAACCCTCCAGGGCCATGTTACAGGGTCAAAGGGAAAAAGGTCTGCATTCCTCTGGGTGACACCTGAGCTGAGCTGAGCTGTGCCCACCCCAACACTTTAACATGCACATGTACTTTCCATATTTCTGTAACACAAAGAGAGCGTGCACATACAGACACATAAAGACAAACACATACACAAAAGCCCTTACTGACCCTGCAACCCTTCTCCGACACCAAGCCACTGACACCACTCAACAAAGCCCAAGAAATTTATGATGAGGGCCTCTCACAACACAGGCACCAGACAGGTGCAGCAGGAGAGAGCGAGTGTGTGTGTGTTCTTGTACTTGCTACATTGTGAGTAGCAAAAAGTTTTTTATTGCTACAGAGTGAGGGCATTTTTAGAAAGTGAGGACATTTTGGCTGGCTCTCACTTTTTGAGGGTTAAGACTTGGTTTTAGGGTTGAGGTTACAATTTGGTTTAGTGTTAGGGTCAAGGTTAGTCATTTGGTTAATATGGTTAAGGTGTGGGTAAGGGGTCAGTGAGTGTCCTCACACAGACAGAAGTACAAGTGTGTGTTCGTGGTTGTGTGTGAAGTGAACCAATCATTACCACACACTCCCGTCCACAGTCTTCTGGTATGAGACAAATCGTCACTCTAGGCAATGCCAAGATATAAATAATATTCACATAATGTGAACTTCAGTCCAGTGAAATACTGCTAGGTGCATGTCCTGCAGGAGGGTGAGATTGTGTGTTTGTGTGTACTCTGATAAGCCTTGGAGGCAGACATTAATCTGCTGTTCCTGATTACCGCTGTAAAGCTACTAGTATTCACTTGAGTGTCCATGTGTGTCTGCACAAGCATGTCTGCCAAATGTGTGCGTTAAGTGTAAAAACAGCAAGGTCCAGGTTGTGCTGACAAACAAGGGATGTGTAAATAAATGGCTGAATGGCATACTTGTCCTGTAGTTTCTTCACTTGGTGACCGAGGCTCAGTTCTGTGCCACTTCCTCTTCTTTGGTTCTAAATCATTCAGTGTTGGAAGGCCTTTCAGGGGCCACGGGAGTCCAGTTGTTTCATTACAATGGTTACAAAACCCCTGCTAATATATCCAAGCATGCGGGTCTTCTCGCTAGCACAACATGGCCCTCTGCCAAAGCAGTCCTCAGGTAGCCTAACTGTCCTGCAGCTGCAGGCATTTCTGCTCTGCTGGAACTCAACCAACGGAGTGGCTTCTAGCTCTGCAGCATTATTTGTTGCAACAAATTAATATGATTATTTCTATAAAAATAAATTGCTTACTTCATCACAGAGAATGAGTGAGTGATTTGTTGCTAATGGCACAAAAAGGCAGCCAAACGTTACATACATAACTTTATAGAATAAAATAATAGTAGTGCTGAAACAAAGTTTGATATTCTTTTTCGTTACCAAAAACAATTTTAATTACCGTTTCAAAAAAAGAATAATTTAAGAACTTCACCCAGTGCCTTGTATAAGAAAATGTACAGAAAAGGTTCCTGTTTACAGCAGAAAAGTCCTTAAGTAAAGTCAATAATATCTAAACGTCTGAGTTTTTGACTTCCTCTAAACCCAACTGTGCCATTGCCAGCTTTGAATGCAGAGGCTTGAATTGTAATGTAACTTTAGCAGCTGGGGCCAATTCTCAGATTCTGCAGCCAGCACAACCAAAACAACCCCCAGAAATAGCTCTGATTCCATTCTGAGTGCTGGCCTAGTCAGCATTCCCAGACAGGCGCTAAAGGAACCAATACATGGGGAACACACCAAGCTCACCAACCCCTAAGTCCATCAATCATTATTCTCCATACAAACAGAGCATTCAAATGGACAAAAAGTCAGTCAATAGGCATCACACGAGGAGTCTGGAGTGTATCCGGTGAGGGAAAAAGAACCAGCCAGCCGAACAGAGGAAAACTATAGTCGTAGAGTCATCTACATCTGCACTGCTTCATTAATTCAGCAGATGCTTTTATTCACACTCGATCAATGAAAGGCCTGTCAGATTTTTATCCCGCAGATAATGTGGAGTCTGTATGGGCTCAAATTAATGAACACCGTGATACAGAAGACAGAAAGGATGTGACATAAAGAGTGGAATCCTTAAATACCCTGTCAAAGCCTAAATCAAAGGCCATTATTCTCTAATAGGTCTGGGGACATTTGAAAAATGTGGTAAAACTTACCCATGATATGACAGAGATACAGTAAATACAGCAGAGATCCAGCCCACTGTGGGGGTGACAGTGATGTTACTACCATCAAACACATGTCTTTGCTGAGGCTTAGCTGGGTACAGAGTTTCCTATTCCGCCCTTTCAGCTCACACTCTCAGAAGTATTAAATAAGCTTTAGCTACAGTTTTGCTGATTGTTGACATTTTAGGATGCATAAGTGTTGAGCGCTTTTAGTTTTTTAGTTTTATATTTTGTAGCATTTCAGGCAGGTTTGTTTTCTACTCACTTTTTTATATTATGAAAATCAGTTAAAAGACTTGTGAAGCTTACTTGAGCTTCGCAGTCTATCATAGTAAACATCAAGGCTCCATTAGTTCTACACAAGTACATTACTGTTTTGTAACGCAGTTAAAGTCTAGACTTTCTGTACTTCATTATTATTAGCAACTTAAAACAAGGGGAAACAGCTAACCTGACTCTGTCCAAGGGCAAAAAGTCTGCTTACCATCACCTCTTAAGCTTGCTGTTTCCCCATGTTTCTGGTCATTATGCAAAGCTAAGATAACCGGCAGTAGGCACGTGCTTCAAATTTACCACACAGATTTAAAAGTGCTGTCAATCTTGTCCCTCAGATAGACAGCAAACTATCGTATATCCAAAAATGATGAGATCCTGGCAAGGACAACAACATATTAGTCAATAACCTTCCAGTCACTGCAGATACTGATGGTTCTACAGGAAAGGCGAAAAGTGTTATTTAAAGCTGCTGTGCAATCAGTGAATGGACAGTTCATCAACAATCCAGTATTTCCATCCATATATATGAGCTGAAACAAAGCTATAAAAGTCTAGTTTACAGGACAAATCAATGCCAAACAAACACAAATTTTCACAGAAATGTTTCAGTAAGTGTCCATGTGCCTAAACAGACCCAGTTTAACCCTGCAGTGGAGGGAAGGGTCACTAGCCCCTTTTACATTACCCATTCAAGTTAAGATTATTGCGCCAATTTTTCACCATGCCATTCATGCCAGCACGGAGAGTCAGTGTTGACAAGAGAGACAGAAAAATTGGTGCAACTGTTCTGCCTTGGCCTCAGTGTAAAAGTGGAGAGGCAGCTTGGGGGCTTGTGTGTGGAGGTGTGGGAAGGTTTAATGTTGTTGTTTCTGCAACACACCACTGGACGACTTAAATTTAAATTTTGCTTGATGAAACAGAAACTGCGACCATAACCATTAACATGTTGTAAACTGCATAACAACTTTGAGTCTGAATCGTGTTGGAAATGGGCAGGACAAGCAAAAGAACATCCCTATTGCTGATTTAAAAGCAACAGTGTTACCAGTATGCTTTGGAGTTGTATGAGGCAAGATAGGCCTGGTTAAATGTCACATTGGATGTCATGTTAAACATCACGCCTCTAATACCATGCAAGAAGAACACCTTATGCTGGCTGTTTTTAGTTCACTGCACATAGACAAAGCTGCAGCTTAACACCAATATAGCAGAATCTCTGTGTAAAAGAGGTTATTGCAAGCAGAGTGGACTGAAGGCCCACAGCAGGTCGTTGCCTTCTTCACTCCTGCCCACCATCCCCCAACACAGTGGAGGGGGCGAGAAGTGCCATTCTGCACAACACAGACTGTGTAAACAGCAACCACACAATACACACGGTGACACACACAGCAGTTTGTGGAGGTAGAGGAGGTTTCTAACTAAAGATGGAGAAAAATAGTGAAGCAATATTTTACCTGCCATTCCTTTTACCATTCCTTTTGATTTAAAACCAAAGTGCCCACTGCATCCACAACACACACACACACACACACAACCAGTAATGAGTGTTTCCTCTTTGAAGACGTCGCTGGGCTTGTTGCTCTTTTTTGCTGTAGTGAAGTGTGGGATGGCGTCACCAAACCCACAGGAATCAGTTGCAAAGTCAACAAGCAGCTGAGAGGGAGGCAGTTCCGGAGTGAGAGGGAAAAGAAAGAAAGAAAAAAGAAACACTGCTGCTCCCTTGTCTAATTTCACAGCTACCAGTCAGATCACCAGTAAACCCACTGTCACAGACCTGCTGACGGGTGCTTCCATTAAACAAAGTCTAATCACAGGATGTAAATGAGGCATAGGTCTTTGAGTGGTAGCAAGCTGATGAAAAATAAATCAAAAGTGAAACAGTTAGACAGCTCGGTCAGTGTGGGGAAAAAGGTCAGAACAAGATTACTTCTCTGCTTAAACCACCCAACAGGCCACGTCAACCTCCATTCATGTCTAGTCATCTGGCGAGCCATCATGGAAAGACCCTAATGACACCAGCAAATTTCATCTGGACTGCAAAATAATTATTAAACGGCGATGGCAGACATAGCGTAAATTTAACTAGCCCTGTGTGCCATGATTAATGCATTTCCTAAAACAGTATACTGAGACTAGTTTAATTCTAATCCTACAAGAAAAGTCTCTCAGGATGGCGAGTTTTGCTGAGCCACATGTGATATCAGGGGTTTGAAGCCAGTAAATGAGGAGTTTATTGGCTGCCAGTCAAACCCGTGTCCTTGCCAGTGTTAGATTTGTTTTGCAAGACCATGCAACGCCAAAGTTAAGACTTTAACTGAAACCTCAATGCCCGCTGCAGAATAAACTGTTACTTTACATGCACTGGGAGCTGATTTAAAACATGGAAAAACACCATTGTCAAATATGTTCTTTAATTTATAGGAACAAGTCTCACTGAATTGTGAAAATTTTATTTCTGAACTCATTTCCAGTGTTCATTCCTACATAAAAAAAAACTGCTGTGAGCACATAAAGCTCATATATTAGATTTCACTAAGCATACCCAAACTATTCTGCCTGTTTTGTGCTCCAACAACTAGAAATTGCTGTTGCGTGCCACAGAAAAGTGTTGTCAAAAGTTGTAATTATAGGCTCAGCTCAAGACATGCCAATTGGTTCAAACTACCATGCTGCCACATCAGTGAGAACAAAAAGTCGGAAGTTGGAAAAAGCAGAATCAGTGTATTAGGAGACAGGGAGCTGTGTGCTGGCTGTCATCATTATGCCGTCGCTGTAGATCAGACTTGTCAACAATCTCCAGGCACATGAGTAAATTAAAATAAGTGTAGAGAGAGCAGTCTAATTCTTTTGTACTAAATTGTTTTAAACTCTGCAGGTCATGGCTCGGTGTTTTTTGTTTCACACATGATAAATGTAGTTTTAATGAACAAGCTTCAAAGGCAGAAGGACATTTATTAAAACTGAGGACTAAAAACATCAAGAACCACCCATTTACAAAGTCATAGCCCCATGTGTGACCTGCATTCACAAGTAAATGGGTATTTTTCCTCTCAGGAATATAAGTTCTGAATTCTGGCTAATGTCTGTCTGAGCTTAACTACTACATTAGCTTGTGGTGATATGATTAGACATCCCCAGTCTGCTCTGATCAAACAACAAAGCAAGAAATAACCGGGCCAGTATGACCAAGTTTGTTAGTGTTTTAAAGAGGTATTTTGGATTTTGAACCAATAACATCTTTAACTTTACATTTAAGTACTTTATATATTTGTGAGGAGAGCTAGAATAAGACGGGAATGACTTGCAGCAAAAGGAGTGTTTTTTTTATCCTTTCATTGGAAATATTCTGAGCGCTAGATGTAATTAGTGCTCTGAAAAAATCTGCCAAGAGTAACTGGCTGAGAGACAAATCGACAATAAATGGCCCTTGAGCTTCAGCGCAAAGAAATTTGTGGGGAAAACTGATTGAAGAAGTTGACAAAAAGCGGAAAGGAAAGTAAGAAAGCGAGATGGTGTGGGTGTCTTTCATGTTTTTGCCTTACCTGTCGCTCTGCTGGAGGAAGGCCCCCCCTCCTCCTGAGGTTTGCACACAAGCATCTGTCTGTGCAGATGTGGTGCCTCTGTGGAATGTACAACATTCCCTTGACTCCTGTCTCCTGAACCACCACTGAGGCTGTCAATGAGCACCTCCGGCCCTGCGCCACCGCTGCCCTCCAGGGACCTGCCACCATGTGCCACACCCCCTGCCCTGCTGGGCTTACTCTGAGGCTCTGCTCGAGGTGGAACCAGCAGCCGCACAGAGGGTCGATGGGACATCTCCAGTTCGTCGTCCTCAGGGATTGGGTTGTACCAGATTTCTCCTTCGTCATCTGCATCGTTCTCCTCAGCTGGGTCGACGCGCCGAGGGGGAGGAGACACCTTAGCCTGACCAACACTAACCTGAATTAAGAAGAAGCCAGAGTTTCCTGTTAAACTTAAGGAAAGAGCATGATCCACCCATTCATTATCTATAACACTTATCCTGTAGAGAGCCGTGAGGGGGCTGGAGCCAATCCCAGCTGACTTTGCCAGTCTATCACAGGGCTGACAAACGGACACAAACACTCACATATACACACGGGCGCCGTT